ACTTTGATCGATACTTTGAATGGGATGGTGATTACACGTCTGTTCTGTATACACCACAGGACTTCTGTCAGTTGTGTGAACGACTTCATAACGAGGACAAATATAGAAGACTGTATGATGATATCTCTGCTTGGCTGGAAAGATCACCGTACGGAAATGCCTGTAGTAACACGACTTATTACAATTAATATTTTTTCAGACTCGAACCATGTTATGTCGTGTCATCAATTATATTAATAATAATATACAACATTTATATAGCGCCCTACATAATTTATTAAATTACTCTTAAAGCGCTTTACAACATATGGATAATAGTAATGGTTATAATTGTGAAAACAAAAAACAAAGTCTTACAATCACTTTTATACATTTAAGCAAGCAATGTGCACATAATTGAACAAATAAAAGGGTGTTATTTACATGACGTCTTTGCAAGGATTCTAAACTGCAGACGTGAAGGGGTGAGTTTTGATGTCCCTCTTGAACTTTGCCAGGGTATTTGACTTATAAAGAGCAGAGAGGTATAAAGAGCAAATGCTGATTTTGTTCCTTAACAAAGGGAGTGTTATCATCATGTTACTACTACATGGAAGATGTCGGGAGTTGATTCAGCTGCGAAAGTTCGTTCGTTGTATCTATAGGTGGTGCTGTAAGTAGATTTTGGAACGATCGTATAAAGTGAAGGAAAATCGTTACTACCCAGGTGGGCTTTGATTAGCCTCCTCTGATATGCAATGCTATTTTTGTGAATATTATACCTTTTACTATGACGGGTTTAATGTACAATGCAAACACATTTTCTGTATGCTCGATGTAGTTGAAGGTTGTTTATCTAAAGGAAATAACGCTTGTTGTAGTAGAACATAGCATGCTAAGGGAGCTACAGTTTTGGTTTTAAGTGGGTGGAAATAGACAGATAGAAAATTACCCCATATTAGATCATGCAATGTAATTCAGCAGATTGATACTTTCTCCACACTTGCACAGGTATTTAAGAAAGGAGTGTAGGACGGTGGTCATAGATGTAAAACTAATAGACGGTTCTCCTTAATTGTATTTATGTTAACACGTTGTAGAATGCTTTACTGTTCTTATTTTTTTTTCAATTCATTTCATTTCATCAATTTTTATTGACATGATGTCGTAATCAATTGGATTGAATAACAGGCAAAGCCTATATAAATTCTCTCCGTCAAATGGCCAAAGTTGAATAGACAAGGAGACATGATATTTTAGACATGTTGCAAATGAAAAAAAATACACAAAATAATTCATATTAACACAAGGCTAAGGGGAAGTAACTCATGAAGGAAACATCTCACACACCCCATACACACTTACACACACATACAAGTACATGTTCAAATACATTTATTTCAGCATATATATACACTATCATAGACAGATATTGGCAGGCTTAGACCAAAAGTCCATGTGCATATATTGCACAGGTCACTGCTACCAACAACTGTTACAATTAGAAATGATGAATTCATTTAATACATATAGAGTGTTATTATTTACAATGTCATGATAAGTACACGTAATAGACAGTAGTCATGCTCAACTAGAATCTCCTGGATGAAATATAGAATATATAGTATATTTTTGTTTAACATCATGGCTTTAAGTCATATAAAAATTAAAACGACGGGATTTTCCAATAAAAATATGCACATCATCAAGTATTCTTCTATTTGTAAGCCCATCACAATCAGGACAGCCCTGGAGAAGAATGTTTTTATCAATGTGGTTGTGGTTTCCATAACTATTAAGAGAAGTGAACAAAGTTGTTCTTTGATTATTAAAAATAGGACATTCCAAAAAGTAATGAGATACTGTTTCATGTTCAGCAGAGCAGGTACAAGCAGGACTATTAGTAAGATGGTCATGGTGTAAATCATAATTTAAATTACTGCAAGAGTTTCGAAGTCGACATAGAATAATACTTGCTCTTCGGTTACCTTCTGTTTTGAAAATTGAAACAGATTCACTATCAGAAATAATATCTTTATTCAAATATTTTTTTAATGCTGCAGGAGAGGGAGAATTAAGAAGATCAGAATTTGCAATGTTAATTGTGCGGCACATTTGGGGGAAAAAACTGTCAAAATAGTTGTTAGTTCTACATAACGGTGGGTTGAAAAGCCTAGTTTTTTCAATTAGCGCTCTACCGTCCATGTTGTTGTCAAGGAGATATTTGTAATGAAAGTATCGATGATATTGTTGACGATGTATGAAGCATCTGACCATGCACAGATTGTGACATTCTCGCTAGAAATCCTTGAGTAGACCAAGTGTTTTTACATGACATCGACTGCATCAATGACGCTAATTCTTAAGAATCCATTAATGCCCGAGCACAAAGACTAGTTGAAGTCTATCAGAACGGTTTCGATTGTAAGCATTCAACTATTGTTATGTGTGAGTGCAGTGATATACTAAATACAGAATCTGTCATGGAGTCAAAGTGTTTTGGGAAGACCGTTGGAGAGATGGCTTCAGTAAGTGACGTACAAGAAAGATTGCCTAGGTATAGGTACCTACATGTATATATTGTGTCGCTGGTTAAAGATCCCAAAAGGGACCATTCCATTCTATAATACTGTTTCTTTAATGTTGTATTTATTGTCTCTAATTCAATAGTGTGTATATCTACATTTTGTGTTTCATGCAATGATTTTTTATTTATTTTTGTCCCATTTGTGTTTGTAGATCAAATCCCTGTCAGCTAAGTAACATTTCCAAACAAAACGAATTTTTTCTATTCTAGATTGATGTTACTACACGTGCATTCATTTTCTTTTAACAAACGAACATATTCAACTTCGAAAATAATTTGTAAATATGAAGAGTTATTGGCATTTCACATATTTTATAATGAATTCAAAGGACTACCTGTTAGGCTAATAGTATTGCAGACAAACGCTCCGAAGACTTGTTTTATATACTTGATACACCCGATCATGAATAAAACAGCTGAGTATACCTGATGACAAAATGCAATCTCCCAATATGGAAATTCTGCCAAAATGTCATCCCGACAGGGCACTAGGTCCAGCAAGGAATCCAAACAATACAATAAAACAGGCAACTCCAGGTTATTGGGATGATGCTTATTTTTTTCAAAAGGTGCACCTTAAAGGCTCACAATAATGAATATTGTAGTTTCATGACAGAAAGAGTTCCAAATATACCCGAGAATCCCCCTTCAATGATTGAACGTTATCTGTTTGTCGCGTTTATAGATTAATTGTGCATGGATAAGTGATTGTCACCCGATTCAAAGTTTTCGTCTTATCTCTCATTTTATGGTTTCGTCTTATCTCTCATGATTATGATCAACTACTTTACATGATGACATTTTGTATTTCTGAGGTCTTGTACAACAATTGATATTTCCAACGTTTGTTTCCGAAAAAGAGTTGATTATTTATTTTAATATTAATTATCGTTCTCTTTATTGGTAATACGATTAAGTATGTTTCTATTGCTTGACAATTCTTGCATATCTTTTTTTTTTTTTTATAAATTTCGTTTGTTTCAACTTCATTTAAATGTAGTACGCTTATGTTACAAGTTAAGAATTTTGTTGAAGATTTATAAACTCGCGTTAAATAGGTCATAGTACTTGCGTGTAAAAGGAAGCAACTATATTTAAAAAATCTGTGCAAGGGCATTACATGATATTTCTAATTAAAACTGTAGATATTATATTCTTTTTTCTTACTTTAAACCAATTGTGATGACTTGTATTTGCTTATTTTATAATATTTTGACGTTGAAATCCTGATATACTTCATGATTGATTGTCGTGGAAAATGTCTGTTTCGATGAAAAGAGGGTGGCTTCCACATGTTGTGAAAAGTAAATGACGCGAATATTAGTCCAACTGTTTTTGCCTGGTATTGAAATTATTCTTTTTGTGGTACATTTGAGAATTCGACCTTGTATGCTTTTGGTAAGAGGAGTTACTGAGTTGATTTTGTCCGTTTGTTAATGTAATGTATTGCGCCCTTTGAAATAATCAAAGAGTCTTTACTCGTTATGCTCTGCGGGATGTAATATGGTTGTGTTAATATATTTTGATAATGCCGTAAAGGTTAACAAAGCAAGTGTTTGATTATAGACATTTACATTACACTACATCTCCAGCACAAAGGCCATCCCTGCGGTTGGGGAATCGGGGAAAAAGAGACATGTCCATATATGACCTTAGCTTTTAATAGAACGTTTAACAAAATTAAACCAAACCAGCACACAGGCAGGCATACACACATATGGAGATATATTAGCCAGGTGACATATGACTAGTAGATACCGCCTGATAAGGCAGGTCCTGCGAAATTTTCTAAATCGTATTGATAAATGTATATATGCTAATTGTATTAATTGTATATATATGTACTGTAAAGCGCTTTAGATTGATTTATATTAGCTAGACAGGACGCTATATCAAATGTTGTATATTATTTTTATTATTAAAGGATTTCAAAGTCATTATGCTGCTGAAAGTAGTTGCAAGTGTAAGATTGTGCTAGTGTTTTGCTGTGGTGTTTTGTATAAAATAAAAAACTCAATCAATGTGTTTTTTCTATTTTTTGTATTTCAACTAGCCACGAATTGCAGAGAGACCACTTGTGTTAGATACTCTTGACCAAACAAGCTGCTTGTTCCTTTCGTGACAAGCACTGCTTTTCCGTTGTAGAGACGTTAATATCAAAAGAAGATTATTTTGTTCCACATTCAGTTGAGGACACTAATGATTATTGTATTGAGTTGTTATCTGTATTGAACAAAAATATCGATGCCATTCCCCAAATACAAATAAGGGGAACATCCATATTTACATAAATAAATGCCTCGAATGTATCCAACAAAACCTAGAACGCATATGAAATCTGTAGGATCCAGTTTTAAAGTCAATAATTAATTTCTTAAATATTCTTTATTTCGAAACCCTTCTACAAGAAGATATAAACAACGAAAGACGTTGATGAATTTTCACTCGTTTTTTATTGTCCGTATCGATACTGTTTCAACAAAATAAGATAAACTCTTCAACTTGTTATATGATAATAAGGCAACAATAACAGAATGCACAACTCCTGACAACGAAATTTACAACAAACATTATCATACAAAAACATTGGTGCACACGGCTGAAAGGGTCTACTACGAGGGCTAGTGCTTTGATTTGTGTTAACGGCAAATAATTTCTGTGATAACAATAACAAAAATTAAAAAATATCGATGTCACCATAAACTAAACAGTGTGCTAATAATAATATTGTAATTATGCCAGGGAAAATTTAGTATTGTTATTCCGATTTTAAAAAATACATCAATTTAAATAACATATAAAAATAGGATGCATTGTTATAAATCGTTTAGTTGCTATTTTATTCGGCGTATTTATATATTAATTTGCAGACCGATAAAACATTTCTTATACGACAAAAACTCATTTAGACGTCATAAAATGGGTATCGTTTGCAAAACTATTTGACGTTTTGGTACAAGTTATACGTTCAAATAAAACAATGTAGAACAATACGATTTTATATGCAATGAAATAATTGTAACTACAACTTCAAAAAAAAAAACGCCCGACATGTTCGCGATGTTCCATACAGGAAATGCTTCATAAATATAATTTCTGTTATTGACACACGCCTATTTACGTTCAGTTGATCTTTACCATCAGAAACGATTTTATTAACAAACGATTTGGATCTTTTCTAATAGTTTAGTTTGATATATTCCTTTTTGTGAATGTCGTATTCTTCTGTTTTTTAGTTCAAAGGTAACTTCTTTTTTCGGAGGGCTGTAAAGCAATATAAAAACTAAGCAATGAGTATAGAACTTTTCAAGGTTTCACATGACCAAGTGGAGAGATGTACCACAATAATAATTATCACGTTACGCTGTTGAATTCCACTGCTGAAAATGACCAAAGGTTTTGTCAAAAATGCAGTTCTATTCAAAAAATCATTTGATTAATAGTACGCTTCATATTCTAGCATACAAAAAATGAAGTGAAGAACTGGAACACCAGCTCTTTATAAAATGTCCAGACAATAGTCGTTCCCTGTACCGATTCCATTGTATGAATTCCCATATCTTAATAAATAATAATAATAATCAGTAATACTGAGCTGGTTGTTCACTTTCCGCCTTTTAACATTGTTAACAATGATAATGTCTACCTTGTATAGTTTGAATTGCAGAAATACCGATAACAAAAAGAAAACAGGAAGCACATATTGTACGTGTATAACTTTGCTTTTTACCAACACAATATTGCATTAAACTGTTTTCTCTCATTTATATTCTTTCCCATTTTAGATATATATGTGTATATTTCTCTTCAGACACGCACATTATTTGCCAAATGTGAACCATCGGCACTTTAAGCACGTCTTGCAATACGCCAGACATTTTTTTATTGACATATACTGATGTAAATCATTTGTGTTTAGCAATTTTACTGAAACTTCGTTTTAGGACTGTCGTTATTTATGCGTTAAGTTTGGTTTGGATAGGATAAACAAGAGCAGAAAACTATAATTGATCTTTGTTTTATAATGTCTATGATAAGCAATCGCCACTGGTTCCGTTTTATTTTCCCTGCACCTTAGCCTGTATAGTTTTGTTATTAAACGAGACTTACTTTCCAATTTCATGTCCGTTTTTTAGGAATACAAATTCAAAATTTATCCTCCCTACAGCAGAACGGGCCTGGTTGAGGAAGTTCCGAGAATCCATTTTAGGCATCACACACAGATAAATACTTCTTACGGTAAATGCACTAAGAAGGTAAAGCCATATTGAACTAAACATAGTATTGCGTGATATATCGATGCAACGAAAAATAATGGAATGAGATATGTTAATCTAAACACTTTCTATATCAAATGTATTTATGTACAAAATACATAAAATGCATACATACAAAATAAATGGCACATAATGCTAACGTGACTAGTATGTACATTTACCAATCACAAAAATATCCGGATCGCTTGGATGATACTTGTAACAAATAATTGTATGTTTAGTATTCAGAACAAGTATTGAAATTATTATCTTTTCTGTCTTCATTGTGTATCAATACACTGACTCCATTAAGATAATTACAAAATCTTTCCACATAAATTCGTGACAGCGGTAAAGGTACATTGAAGTCCTTCTTCTTCATTTGTTCCCTGATCAGAATCCAATAGTCTGTTCGCCACATTAATAACACCTGTTAGGCTACTTCAAATCATGCCGTTGAATGTGAAAGAACACTTAAATACAAGGTACAATCCGTACATGTTACGGGGCCTGCCCGTCTACAGCGTAATAGCATGATGCCGTATACATACTTCGGGGCCAGCCCCTTCCCATCTCATTTGTCACATCCTTAATATCATCTGGATAAGTGCTGAATTTTCTTCAGATTGGAAGTAATATCGAAGTTTAAATTTCGATTCAAATATGTTTACATTTACATGCAGGGGTGAACCATGACCATACGGTAGAAAGCGCCAATAATTAAACTCAAAACACTAGGCCAGTTAATCGGTCGTTTGAACACTTATATGCAATACAGTGTATTGATTGGACCCCAAGTTTCGACCAATCTGATGCAGAGCAAGATACCGACTTTTTAATCATAAAACTAAAAGTACTATGATGCTATCAGGTCTCCTTCACCGTCCATATTTACAGACTGCATGTGCGCACTACGCATGATCGTTTTGCTGTAGTCCACGAGATGATTATGAGACTTCATAAACACCAGTCTGTCCCGGGGATCGCTTTTCCAGCAGCCAAGCATGACGTGATAAACAGTGGACGGACACTCCTCTGGTCTCTGTAGCAATATCCCCTCGTCAAGAAACCGCACCACCTTAGGAGAGAAAAGGCAATTCCAATAATAGCTCATGATAAGTTAAAATTCATGATTAAAACATACTTATTCACAAATGGTTACATTTCTTTATACATCATAGTCATTTACTGTATAAGACGACATTAAGATATCTAATGCAACAGATGTACATAAGTGTACAAACTCACGGGTACATTTTATCTTGATTATTATAAAATGTACCTGTATTTTTCCAAGATATCTTTCGTTAAGACCTTCCTGTACAATGCAATTATTTTATTATTAAGAGCACAGAAGAATTATTTTGTAGAATGGTTCTATAGTTTGAAAACTTACTGAAGTAAATGAGAATAATTGTTATTTCATAAAGACTCAAACCTAAAACAAAGTATGCATGTCATTGGATTCAACAAGATCTCCAATAAACACACTCGTACGCATATATCGTATAAATATATTAATTTGAAAAACTCTACCTGATGTAAAATTAGTATGAAACTTCACGTGATTTAAAATCAGTAATAGCATTTAACAACCAGATGGATTCTAAGAATAATAAACAGATTGCAAACCTCCTCATTTGAATGTCCATAGTAGGGCTGTCGACCAAAGCTAAAGATTTCCCACAGCACCACACCAAACGCCCAGATATCGGACTCCGTGGTGAAGCGGCCATATTTGACACTTTCTGGCGACATCCATCTTACAGGTAGCATTCGGGAACCGCCAATCTGGAAGTAGAACATCATATGAATTTATTATTTCGAAGATCACATTAACAATACATCAGCTGAAGAAAACTTGAAAGGGTGTGTGAATTTGTGTTTATATGGCATTATAATTTGAGATGTGCATTTATCAGAAATCAGACAATTGTTTTTCTCTGTTATAAAAAACGTATCTGTTGTGATCTCGATATTGTAATGCGATTTCTATGTCAAAAGTATGATGGACCCGGTACATGTGATTTACATTTTTAAGCAATATACATGTACATATTGTGAGAAGTAAATCATCTTCAGCGTTTTTCGTTAAGCACTTACCCTGTAGTAATCACAGGTGTAGACGTCACGCGCCATTCCAAAATCCGAAATCTTGACCACAAGTCCATCGCCGACCAGACAGTTACGTGTGGCTAGGTCACGGTGTACAAAGTGTTGTGATGTCAAATAGGCCATACCATTGGCTATCTGTATCGCAACGTCAGTAAGATCAGTCTGAAACGAGATTTAACCAACAGCTGACATTAAATCATAGATCCGCGATAAATAAAACTTCAAACTAAAACAATTTGTGTTTCCTTTGAGAGGATGATGGTTCATTTCGATAGGATTGGGCACAAGTTACATTAACATTATATCGACATTTCCTTACAATTTAATAACACATATATGTACATCATAAGATGGCTAAATATCAATATATATATATATAATATAATATTATAATTGAATGATAGAATAGAAAAGAGGTAGCGAGATAGCCAAAGCATGTTAGCATTTAACAATTTGAAGTAAATATGTACTGATACATTGATGATCACCCATATGTTACACAACCACATGCACACACACGCACTCACTCCTACACGCATAATAGCAGTATACATGTACAGCAATTTCGTTAATTTCGTGCAATTATATGGTTACAGATTTTATAATTTGAAAATATTACCATCTGAACAAGTAACGAGTTTTCAAACCAAATCACAGTTGATAGAAAAAGGTCATAACAGTAAATAATATTTATTCTTTTTAACTGTCCGTCGGCAAAATAACATTCTTTTGAAGAAAAAGGTATCTCACCGACTACTGTTCCTTTTTATGTTATTTCTCAAACATATAAAAACTTATGATTCGGAGATGTTTTCACAAGGAGCATAATAATAAGGATCCCTCTCCTACTGTAGACAAAGGCTAGAAAATCCCACTGTAGGTTGTCGAAGTTAGAGTTACCACCCCTTACACCGTTTGGATATAACTGTAGCACGATAGCGACAATATGATACCACTGACAAAGTAGCTAATGTGGTAAGAGCAACAGTATAAACATTGGATGTTCAAGGTTCGAGTCTTCATGTGGTCCAATTGGAATTTTACACTTGCAACGTTTTTGCTGATTTTTTATACATGGTTTTTTTTATTGCCGAAAGGTATAGTTTTCTTTTCAAAAAATATTAATCAAAGCTAGTCACGACAATAAAAAAATCAATCCATAGTCACAGCTTTCGGCTGTGGTATGGGGATACTACAGGTGAGCCAGCTGTCACGCCTATAAATCATACGGCCGACCAAGTTTATCACTGTTCTAGATTATACGGCCGATAGAGCAGTAATTGAAGTACTATATATATACACCTGGTGGGCCAAGATACGCAGAAGTAAAAAGGTAAAAGATTGTCCTTCATAAAGTATACCTTCTCTAATATCATGTCATCCGAGTGTTTGCGCATAACCGGGTCGTTATGACGCAGGAGTTCAGCTAGGTCACCATGTAACATGTACTCAAAAATCATGTACGGCGTTCCCTCTAAACCTGAAACAAAGATAGACATATCAGTAGTAATGCTAATAACGCTTTTGATAGTTTTGTCGGCGATTATATGAGGATACCGTTATCATTTTTGAATTGGTGATATGAAACTTTCTCAGTTGCTGGCTCTTCATGTACTGAGTTATAATTGTCTCACCCAAGAGCAGTAATCTTCGCAACGTGTCGGATAGTAACCATGTACAACTGTAAGCTTTTATTTCACTTGAAAGGGCATTTTAATTATGTCTGTACATTAAATGCAAGGGTATGTTTAAGTAATAATTGTCACATGATGACTAAGTCGATCTTAGCTTGTAATAGAACTAGTTGGGCTTGACCGTTACGACACGTTAACACATACGTTATTCGTGTTTTAAGTAAACCGTACTATAACTATCTTCAAAATGATGACTCTTATTAATCTGCAATCCCTTACACTCTAAATCTTAATCAATTTTATGCGACTAAAGGAAATGTTTCATATGGGATATTATTGACGCTTGACTCATTTCCTAGCAGCTGGCGACAGCAGTTTGAACTGTAGATCTAGATAAATAATATATTTAGATTTTCACCTTAACATTCTACTTTCCACAAAATTTAACTATGATCAGAAATCTGATATTTTAACACGGACTCGGGCAGGGAGATCATAACATCAATGCAATCGTCATGTCATAATCACAACGTGCACAGATCATAAGCTGATGGCCGTTTCATATGTGGAAAATCAACTCATGTCTAAACAGTTTGAAACTGCAATCATGTTCGAAATAATAGAAAATATAATATCAAATTTCAATCCAAAGGTTTTTGTTTGGAGCAATTGTCTTACAGAGTCCATTTTCGTTGGTTAACCAAGGTGTACTTTGAGTCACCTTCATTGTAGTACGGTTTGGAATTAGTAATGTGTCGCTGTTAGATTCCTAAACGCTCAGATGTAAGTGGATATATGTGTATCGCTAGAAACATAGCACTGTTTATATTTACAAATCGGTAATTTAATTTATCATTTCTGCATATTTGTTTAGTTGTTTTTCAGCACGTCATTCCAAATGTTTATGAAGTTCAAACTGGTCTACTCCTGACATGCAATACAATGTTCAATTTTCCACCAAAAAAACAACATATTTAACATAATGAACACGATCAATAAATGACAGGATAATAGCTCACGCAAATGTCTCGTTAGTTTTGTAGTCTTGCACTAATGTCCCATAACCATAAAATATATTTAATTACAGGCATAACAAACCCCGCCATAGATTACTAATATCAGCTGGAATCGTATGTAAAATAGAATTGGTTAAATGACTTAATGCATTACGTCAATTTTATTTAAATGCTCTGCCTTATCCACGTTTAGTTATTTGTGATGATTATTAACCTTTCAAATGGTTTGTAAATTATGACCGGAGCATTTCCGTCAACATTCACGTTGGTGGACAAATGCATCGTTGTGTTTAAAAGGTTTTGTCATGTAAAAAGAATAATGTATGGCATTTATATTACTGAACGTGTTTCAACGGACGTGTTTCAATAACAGCCATAGAATTTGTCGATTGTCACCAATTATTTTCATAGAATACTTATACATAAGTGTCAATTCTGTAGAACAGAATCAAAATTCCAAGTCGAAAATAGGAATGGTCTCTGCACATTGCTAATTTGATGCAGGTTTGGAGTGATTTAAATGCTAAAGTATATGATGCAGCTTCAGCAAATGATTGAAACCCGGCCGGGCCGATTAAAACTGCTTATTCACTGAATGTAATAACCTAGACAACAGTTTGAGTTTTCGGGTTCAAAATCTTTGCAACAGCCTGTGTCATATGAGGACATGTGACTAGGGAGACAACGCCGGAAAGACAAAGGACAGCACAGAAAGGAAACGAAAATGCTCTAAAGATTTGAAATTGGGGCAGGAGCTAAATATTAGTCTCTTCAATATCCTCGGAGTAGAAAACAAAAGGCCGAATATGCTGTTACAGTTCACTTTGAACAAAATACGCTCTGATAAAAAACTTTGATTTTTTTTTTCAAATTGTGTTTAAATTGGGCCTCGCATTTGTTGCCTCCTGCGATACACATGCAGTGGGATACAGCAAGTATTTTCCTGGTTTCTTCTACGTCCTGAAGTGGAATACAGTAGGCCTATTCTCTCCCCGAGCCTACACGTGTTCCTCGACAATAGAAATGGAGGCAACAGTAGAACTAAAGCAATACAAAAAGATACAGTGACAGTGAAATTTTCAATTCATTATACAAACCTTTGGTAACAACCCCTAATAATTTTAGAATGTTATCGTGGTCAAAGGCACTCATGATTTCCACCTCCCTGTCAAAGTCGTCCTTGACCTCGTTAGATACTCCCTCCTTCAGAACTTTAACGGCTACCTTTCTAATCTCGGACCCGTCTTCGGCCGAATATATGCCTAGAAATAGAAAATGCTATAGTCTTAAAACATTTCAGGATTTAAAGTAGATATTGTTATACGATAACAATCGTATTATTGTACATGTAACTGACCATTTCCGTTACCACGCTTGTTGGATATTTCTTGTCAGATAGTGTTATCAAGGTAACGCATCGAATATTGTTTATAAGAAAACTCTTTATTTTCTAAAGTTAAAAGCTTTGCAACAGCTGTGGTATATTCATATGATATCATGATTCATATGTTTTTGTCACTATTTTTAATATTCCTTGACAGCAAACCGATATTATAGCGTTTATAATAATGCACTATATCTAATTAAACTGTCTATAATGCAGATTTTGAGGACGTGCTCATTCATCGGTTCCTCGATTAATAAATGGTCAGTTTCTCGCTATATATGGATACCATTTCACAAGCAGACACTACAAAACAAAACGACTGGTACATGATGAAGATTTCGAGCTATTTAACATGTTATGAACCATGTTCTGAACCATTGTATTGGACTGACTAATTTATTACTATGTTTTAAAAACGTATTTTGATACACCTTATAAGATATTTTACCTTTATATACCTGACCGAATGCCCCTTCTCCGACTACATCTACAATTTTCATCTGTTCGGAAGGAATGTCTTTGATGTTGAATTTTCGCCCCTTCACGCCGTCATGTGGTGATAGAAAGTAAGTGGGGTTTTTATTCACAAAGTTCATTCTATCTAACAACTGCTCGTCTTCCGTCGTTTTTACCGTCGACTCCTTCCTTCGTTTTCTTTTGCATAATTTGATCCGCCGAGCGACGATTAAAAATAAGGCAAGTAAAACAAAAAGGACAGACGCCAGAGGGATGAATATCTGTATGGAAGTTAGCTGGTCTGACATGCTGTCACTTTGTTTATACAGGGGCACCGTCTGAAATTAAAGAAGCAGAAGAACACTTGGTCAATCGAGTCAGATTTGTCTGTTGTTGATCAACGTCCCGTAATACATATTAGCGGCCGTATCTATGTAACTCATTATCGGACTATTGCTTTGTGCTAAAGTCCGATTTCGGTTCCGGGAATAAATTAATGAAACATTACATTTTGTCAGTGATTTGGTTGTTATGGTTTTGATTGTATAGTTTTAATATTTTGCATTGTTTAACGACCCATCGACAATTTGAGTCATTAAGGGCCGAACAACAATGTAAAAAGTAGAGACTTTAAAACGTCCTATCAACAATTAAGTCATTTAAGGACATACCTTCATGTGTGTTGTGCATGCATGCAGGTGTGCGTGTGTGTGTGTGTGTGTGCTAAAGGCAGAGTATATTGGTGCTATTGGAAAGACTTCAAGCCGAGTACCGTTTAAAATAGCTGACTTTTTGACTGTTGGCTTGAACACGGAATATATGCTAGAGCACGAGTACAATTTCATAAATACAGGCGCGGTCATATGAAAGCTTGTTCGGGGAACATACCAGAGAATGTGAACAAAAGCATTGCTTTTTATAATATAACGTGAGCAGGTTGATTTTATTTAATAACGTCTGAAACCTGCAAGGTAGCAGTTCTATACATGTTTAACTTCATATATGGCAGGTTAACATAATCACTTTCAAAAAACATACATGCGCTCGAAGTGTCGTTGAAAGTAATAACATCTGATTTGGAAATAATGATTTAATGAAATGTGTAGCATGTTTCATAAAGCATACAAATGTATCACTTGAGTGATTTTACTGAAAAATGCACGAAGAAAAAGATCGGAAAATAATGTGTGAAAATAATTGCAATTTAATTGTCATTATATAAGAATTGGTTGTTTCTGTTCGATATAGATTTATTTCAATGCAACCTTTTTAGACAAAGATACATATATGTGTAGGAAGATTTTAGCAATGAATCAGATTAAACAACGCATACACGTCAATATGGTTATGTTTAAAAAGTCAAGGCTTTTGCTGAAAGGTTACATACAATCATTTGCATTAATTTCATACGGAAAGTTAAAACTGAATTTGGAACCGAAACATTTAATATTTTCACCAAAATGGGTTTTATTAAACTGAAATCTGCTATTTTCTGCCGCGAAATAGGGTCTCATTCTGATCATACTTTCCTATTAGAAAGGGTATGATAATAGGCAATTCTAGTAAAATATTCGGTCATGAATGTTCTGACTGATTGGAAGCAGGACAAAATGAAAACTAAATAACAAATCATCACAAGAACCAAGCCTACCTAAAAGTGCAAAATACAGATAAAACGGAAGAAATCATGAAAACGAAGAGAAAGACGGGGCTTGTTTCCATGTCTATGTATTACATTTGTACACTTACCTCGTTGCGGACCAGTTTAGGGTCGGGGATAGTGTTATTGTCTGCGGGGACAAACAAGTCACCTAGCGGCTGAACTGGGAACACGTCATTCATTTTATCGGGAGGAGGTACATCTAGAAAAAAGAAAAGTGTTTCGACACAAAATGATTGCCAGTTTCCTTCACTTGTCTATGACTACAAAGTGTATGGGAATATTATCTGAGGGTTGTTAGCATGTATACCGTCTTCATAAGCTTAGCTTAATGGCATATTCTGTGTTGATGGGCCGTTAAGCATTAAATAATATTAATAACCGCAAGGAACAGCGTCATTATACATTAAACAGTTAACCTGCTTAATATGTCTTTAAAAATATCCTGTCCCGTTATAGGAGTAACACCGGATCATCTGTCCCTGTATACTTACAACAAACTGAACCTGAAATGTTGGACCTTATATAGACACAAATCAAATAACGAATTTTACTTACCTGTATTATTGATTCGATAATCAAGCCAACACAAGTGATTTATTCAACAATACTAGTTGATGCGGTATTTTGTATTAATACAGGTTACTATTTACCAACTTACCTGAAATGCACTCTCCATACTCGTTAACCGGCTGAAGAATGGAGAAACAAAAGCAGACTTTCGCATGGAAAACGTCATTATATTTGCATACGGCATCGGCATCGAAACAGTCACTGTTATCCGTGCACGTCTTGTGCGACTCTGCAACCACAAAAAAGGATTTTACATTAAACATTAAAGAGAGTAAAATGTCTTATCGTGATATTGAGTCAGTAATCTTTAATGCAGCATACTAATTTTACACGTGCAGCATGCTTATGAAAGGCAAGTTTAATTTAAACACGTGTATATCATTCAGTTTTTATTCAGTTACTTGGGCCTTTAACTAGTTTAAGTCGTGACAAACAGTTTGTGATCGATTTCCTTTCACTTGGTCTTGCTCATCCTTGCAAATTAAAACTTGTACAGATTATAGACCACTTAAGACAAGACTGACATCTGCTTTTGATATGAAATTAAATACAACTGCATCGCCTGCACAGATACTGCAGTTATTTTGTATGCGAATCAAAAATTGCTTCGAAATAAAACAAATCTGTTATTGAAATTGATCTGTATCAAAATAAAACAAATCAGTTATTGAAATTGATCTGTATCAAAATATACAGCTTCATTCATACCGAAGCATGTTTCTAATTATTTTGCAAATTTCGTCAAACCTTTGTAAATTATTTTTACATCCTTAAAAAAAACCAATGCGGTATCAAGACAATGAAATATTCCCTCCGTACACATATTATATTTGTCATTCTTAAAATATCAATCGATACGGACTATACAAATGCTTAGAAATCTCGTTCATAAACGTCAATAATGTGTGGTCCATCTGTTGCACGTCGTAAAAACGGCTATTACGATTTATATTTCCTTAGACTGCACTTCTCCTCAATTTGTTTGCCTTCAAACATCATAGCTGACACGATTCTGTCATTTAATCATTGAAACGATTGTTTGTTTCCTCTGAGTTTAACGTCCTCGCAATAGCTAAGGTCATCGGTGCCTAGGGAGACGCCTACGAAACGAAGAGTTAGGAAGCAAGGAAAGATATGAATTGACGTGTTGCGGGTGTTAAATGTGCTTTAGAGTAGCATCGATGAGCTGTAGAGTAGCTTCAAGTAACCAAAACAAAACAGCAGACGTCAACTCAACATCGTGTATTCAGCTAGGCGGAAACAGAATCACAGGCTGCGCGCAGACGCAGTACAGATATACAGAGTTGTTACATATTACAGATTGAGTAAACAGATAATAGCGGAACGCAATAATAACTACATATTGTTACAGCGGGCAGCTGATCAATTTTGTTTTCTTTGATGTCCACAAACTAGAAGATACCGAAGAAAACCCTCCCATTAGTTGCCTCTGTTCGATATTTCGACATAAATATCTCACCGAATTATTAGGAATACACCTAGAATCGGAAGGGGAAATATGTAAATGGATGATGTACATATTTCTACTGTTTTACGTTGTAAGATTCATGGTCAGAGTAAAATAGTAGGCTGTGGGAAATGTCCTGCTTAGCAAACAGATTGCGACTATCAACTTCAGCCTATTTATATGAATGATTCTTCGTTTCTAATGACCCAGTAGCACAACGCCATTGATCACCGAATCCAATAGCTGACACAAGGTCCCAGAAACAGTTGACACTATTCTATTCAAGCCTTATTGATGAAATGATTATATCGATTTTGTTTAATTTGCCTTCCTTTTACTACAACTAATTGGATTTCTTCCTTGTCAATCGGCAGTAACATTATTTCCTAACATGTCTTATCGAGGTTTTGAAGTACCATGCTATCACAGACCCAGTATCTTACTAATCAATGGTACTGTTTGCATTTCTCAAATGAATTACCTGTATATTGTAGTCTCGCCCTTCTTGATATTCTACTGCAGTCAATGTACGGTTAACATCAAAGTAATTACAACACAAACTAGTTTGATCTATTGAAAAATGTCTTTAAAAATCGACCTAGAGTAATTTGGTTTTTACCTTTTTTTAGATCAGGAAATACACGAAAGTCATATGTTAGTCCCACTTTAAAGTTTAATATATATATATATATTGTGTAATATTGAGAACGATAAATTCAAGGATACCAAGATCAAAATTACAATACATATTTGTCTAATATAAATATTACAGAACGTATTTTCAAGTTGTAGATTTGGCTCTAGTTGCAAGTTAAGGACAGAGCTATGCTTATGCAGTGTAGATGCTGTACAACGAAAATGTATGCATCAAGTTATCAATTGTCAGATATGGATTATGGTCCTTTGAAATTAACAAAGACGTCTGAAGAATAGTGACGCTATACGTGTACATATTTTAGCAGTAGTCTTATTGTAGCGCTTTTAATTCTATACTAGGTAACAGAATCTCATTCGGACACTTAAACATTAAAAATCAAATCAGTCTATCAGAAAGTATTCTGTTACATGTTAGATATCATTCATCTTTCTTACCTTCTTCCCCGTTCATACTTGTATTGACACAAGCCCTTATTCTGATATCTACTGTTTGCTTGATAGATGTCCTAATGAATAGCAATACCAGTGCACAAGCATGTAGCATCGTATTGAACAGGATGTTTATCACATGGTAGGTATAACGTATCCGTTTACAGGTAAAACCTGGTTGAAGTGTTGCGCCTACTCGGCAGTTAATTAACAGCTTGTCTGAAGAAATATTTTAGAATAAAACACAGTTATCGCAATATCCTACAGTATATTATATAACATTGATAATACTGCGGTTCAGAAAGTAATGTTTGTCATTCGTCTTGTTTGTTATGTAAACCGGAAGTGATAATTATTAAAGATCTCGCCAAAATGATATTGAATGCACTGATTTCAAACAAATACGTAGCAGATTATATTACGTAATATCTATGAAAACCTTTTCCGATACAGATTCTGGGCTACACTGTATCAGTATATGATTATTTATCATTATAATAAGATTTCTTTTTAATTTTTTTTTTTTTATATCTAGTTTGCTGTATTTATTTTTGTGATTGTCCATTTTACATTGCCTGTGGGCCGTTTAACAACACGAAAACAAACTGACCATAATAAGACATCAATATTTGACATTAATTAGTTTGGTTTCGTTTTATATTGTTAAACGTCCTACAGGTAAGTGTATCTGCAGGTAGGGCGTAATAATTGTACCTGCAGCCCCCCTTGCATGATCGTAAGAGGCGACTAGGAACTTATATTTTCTCTGCTTTCTAAACAACTTTCTTCTTCCTGATGTCTCTCTTGCCAATGCCTCACATTTGGCCTTTAGTTGAGCGTTTGGTCCTGTAAGGAATGCTTTGGGTTCTGTCCCCTGGCCGAGACATACCAGAGTCTGTACATGGTAGTTTCTACTCCTGCTTAACGATCAGCAACTTAGGAGTTGGACGACTGGTTCGCCCGTTTGGGGTGTCCTGCTGGGTGTCTTCGGCAGTATGTTCAGTGAGGTAGCACTATACAGTTGGCATCAGTTCCACGCTATCACAAGGAGCCAAACACGAACATATAGCAGCCCCCCCCCCCAAAACACACGCATGCATCCTGCACACAGGGGAGGCCGTCCTTAATTGACCACAGCTGTTGATAGGACGTTAAACAATACTAAACCAAACCTTAACATACAGCTAATATCATTTAAGGACGTGCCTCTATGTGTCATGATAGGAATGTGTGCCGGAGACAGGGTCTATTGTTGTATTTCCCTCTTTCTGATAGCGCGGATCTGCCGACTTCAGAGTGCTAGATGATTGAAATACCGTGCCGAAGGTACCCAGCACAGCAAGTTGCCCTGTCACAATATACTGGCAACGGGTAAGCCAGTTATTGCCATTACCATAATTTCTGAACGTTAAGCAGGGAATAACAACTACCATTTTGAAAGACTTTGGTATGTCCCGGCCTGGGAACAGATCCCCTTGCCTTCTTCACCTCAAAATTAAAGCCAAAATAAGGTATTATCAAGCAAGGCGCGAAAAAAAAAAGTTAGATAGAAGTAGAAAGAAATATAAAAATCACAATTGCAATTGGTGCAGCAGGTCTATTTTGGACGTGTTTTCACCTAAGTATAGGGCACGAAAACAAATCCCCTACTTACATTGTGCTGACAACGCGTAAACCAGTTGCTGTTGGAGGGGGGCATTAACTGAAAGGGTAATGTCAGTATGTCCTATGCGTAATGGCGGGAGAGCAACTCGTATTCGCATCGCTAACGTTAACGGTCATCACACTCAAACGGTATGAACTTGCAAACAAATCAATAACCTAAAAGACATCCGTTCTTTTCCCTCCTATCACTTGTTTTCGTGACAGTTCTCCCCTAAGCATGTATTCTGTGCCTTAATGAGTACATCGTATGTTTCTCCTGTAGAATTTACATTCTGCGTTATGGAAGCACCAGGGATGACGTATACCATAATGTCTCTTATGGAATCCATACAAAGACAGTTTTAAATAAAGACAAACTTATTTATTACAGTTTTTTGAAGGGCATGGAAGAAAGTGTAAGGGTATTGCTTTGTTTGCTTCAGTTAGAAGTTCATAGTACTGTATTTATTCGGGATATATGTCAAAGGTCTTATGTCTAGACTCTTTAAAATAGATGATAAAGTTTTTGAAGAATGTTCAAGTCGTCTTATGCGATGTTTGCTTCATAAAGATGTTAGAAGTACTGTGTTTGTCAAATATAATTGTCATAAGCAAGCACAAAACAATATAGGAGTGGGAACGCTTGTTTTGTCCTCTTAAACTACAGAATATTTTGACGTTAAACCAGTATTCAATGATGATGGTACATTATAAACAAAACACTTTTCTTAAATACTGTGCTGTAATTTAATATTGCATGTGCATATAGCATAGAAATTATTTTTCTTACTATGAAAGGGAATAGGGTTTCAAGACTATATATCTTTACCTTTTAATTAATTTGATGTCTCTCTGCTGACATCGTGTTTTAATGTATTAAATGTATTTGATGTATTATCAGACACGCATATGTTAAGGAGAGTGTGGAAACAGCCGTTTTACAACCACATCTTAGAGCACGTCCTTGACTTTGTATCTTCATGTATGTGCAAGTGAGCGCTAGAGATTGTGCAGATGTTCTGCGTGTTAGA